TTTTTTGTTTTTTTTCTTTCAGATAACAGAAGTAATCTGTCACAAACATCATTAGAGAAAGGTCTTTAAGAAATATGACCTTCCTTTTATAATGTCAGCTTACAGTGGAATCCTGATACAGCAAACAACAATATGATGTAAAGACCCCTCTTTATATTGATGAGTCTGATAAGAAAAAACTATCCTAAAATAATAAATAATCCCTTCCTTATATAACGAACATCCAGACATAAAAAACCCACTCCTCTACCACTAACAGCTATTCGCTAAAGTAGAGATGGCTAGTGGTAGATATTTAGCAAGCCGCGAAGCGATGAGTTAAATATCCTCCGATAGTTGTTTTAGTATACACTAAACTTAGTATAAACTTAAGAGTTATCTGAGAAATTGGCTCAAAGCATAGTTATGTCCAAGAAAATAAACTGCATTCTATTATTATCACTATAGAGAGCTCTGACAAAATAAAAACTGTAAAAAAGACAACAAACCGTTCCAGGAGGTCTGAACATTCTGAACAATCACGCAAGCGTGCAAGCAGCTAAAATACATTTTAGCTCTCAAAAATCCACATTTTAGCCTGCAAAATGCGCCACAATGTCCGACAAATGATAAGGTTGCTTTTATTTAGAACATTAGATCGAGTTTAGCATCGATGTGGACGTCACGGAAAACAAACTTACGTTCATCTGACGAGAGGTTATTTAAGAAAAACCCAATATATTGGCAGATCCTAGGGCCTGGCCCAAGGGCTTTTCCGTTTTTTTTTCCTTATAGCCACCCAATAAAATGACTCTCATAATATAACAAACATCCCAGCATAACTAAACGCAATGTACCGACCATCCCTGTGTTACAAACCCGCTGCGCAGCAAAACCGCACTGTTAAAAGACCATAAATTATATGACGAAAATCCTATATTGACAATGAACCCTCTCGTGACAAAACTCGGTATTGCAGCCCTTTATATAACAGATACTTCTATAGTAAGAAAGGGACAACGTGTTGAGACAAATGTAACATGATGTCCAGAAGATAACCTCGGTGTGGCTTTATAGGATTTTTTATTTCCCCCACTTTGTTATCAAAGGTTTCTACTGTACTTCCTGATCATGGAAAACTTGTTATTTGATGTAAAATAAACATGTCGAAAATTTGTCGCTCTCTGTCATTATATTACAGACTTCCTGTAAAAGATGTGTTTATTAATAGTGATAAAACCGGCGACACACTGGCGACTTCATACGCCGATCGCGGTGATTGGTAAAAATCGCCAGGTGTGCCCGGTGAGGCGATTGCTATTTTTGTCAATCGCGGATATCAAATTTTCCGCAATCAACAACAACGAAAAAAACGCCAGGTGTGTCGCCGGCTTAAGAGTGACATATCAAAAACATTATTTTGGATTCGCTAAGCCTGCGTAAAAGGCAACTGCATCTGTTCCAGACTCTGCACTTCCCACCAATCAGGTAACATGTTATGTTGATCGGAAAAAAATCAAAGTCAAATTAAAAGTCAGTCCTTCTTATCCATGTTAATTAAGTCTATTGAGCGAGTGCTGTTCTTAGGACTCCATTTAATATTGTTGCTTACCCTCCTTTAGAAACTCAAGTGAAAGGTTTCATCTTAACACAAAGGTTAGAGTTTAAAGCAGTCCTAAGCGAAAAATCAACTCCGAGAGATAAGGTAAACAGCTTTTAAGGATAAACATGCGCGTGATGAATATTACATAACTGGCAATGAATTTCAAAACCGAATACAAAGACCGGCTCTGCAAGTGGCTTCTGGAGAGAGATGATTGCTCATCAATTATTTTAATCAAGATCTAGCAAACAACCTCGGATGATTATACACCAAGAGCAATAGATTAATCAAAATGGTTGGCAAATGTTTTTTTTCTGGGTTCGTCAAAGTAGCATTTTTTGACTGCTCTAATTAATTTGCTATTCATGATGTGAAGCAGGCTGGCAGCGGTCAGGAACAAAAACAAAGAACGCAAACATCTCTCTTCACTGGTGTATGACTTTCATTCAATGTATTAACCCTGACAACTCTGGGTTACAGAATTCAAACCTACGATATATAAGAGGTAATTTTCAATATTAAAAGATTGAAATATCACGATTTATTTAAGTGTTTTTGAGTGCGTGTTTTACTTCACATACCCAACACAATTGATTAACAATTAATGCATATGTTATCTTTAGGTAACAAAGGATGGCTTTTGTGCCAATTTAAGAAGTTTTAATTCATCTGCAAACTACGTACATGAAAATTTGAACATGGAATTCGTAAAGTATGAAACCGCCTCCCGTAAGTCGTCCAAGAAGAAACGACGGAAACTATGTTTGATCATAATTTTCGTCTTGCTGGGAATTCTCTGCTTGTGTTGCTTTTTCGCAGGAATCGCGCTTATTGCAGAGGCGAGAAGAAACCGTAACACTGATGAGAGTGAGCCGTCCAAGCAAAGCGACTGCGATTATTCGCAGGAGGCAAAGCAAGCTGGTCTCGATGATTTATTTCAGAAAGCACAAAATAAGTACTTTGAATTATACCCCAACAAGATTACAGGAAAGCCTAACGTTTCGCCGGAGGAAGTCAAGAAGAGGTACCGCTCGTACGATCCAACTCCTGCCAGCATAAAACTAATTGCCGATGAAGCAGCAAAGATTGCAGACGAAATCGAGAAGATGCCGATTAGTATGGATAAGCTCACTCTGAGAGAGAAACGAGGCGTGGCGCAATTATTGCATTGGGCAAAACATGCATTCCCTTTCATGGTGCCGTACGGATATGACTATTACGTTGGAGATTGGATGATGGGACCAGATATATTCTGCTGGTTCCCTATCTGCATGGTTCCTTCCGAGGTTGGAGCTGCTTTTAAACATTTCAAACCCTCCACTGTAAGCGATGTGGAGTTACTAAGAGACAGATTCGAGGAACTGGAGAATACTTTCAATCAATTTGTGGAAAACATGAGGTTAGGAGTGGATGCTGGAATGGTTCGCACGATCGAGGAATGCAAGGCTGGGTTGGATGGCTTGAAAGGCAGCTACAAAGATGTGGCTTTGAAAGGGCCCTCAGGTATCAAGTCTTTGAAAATATGATACAAAAACTAATATGTTTTAACGCAGCAGACGAATGATTGAAATTTAATTCTTTCAGTTCTTTGTTTGTGTTTCAACAGATGTTTGGAGAACAACATACTTGAACTTAATTTAAATTTACAGCAATGACCCGATTTGAAACCATCTTTTTGAAATAAATAAAATGCATGACCTCCACTTGACTGTGAAGTAAATATGCAGTTAACAATTAGGGAAAGTAATCCTTTCACTTGCTATTGAAAGACATTGCTATAGAAAACAATGCTCTCCTTGCTTTCCACGAAGTTCAAACGTAGTTAATGTTTCGATTACCTTTTCCGTGTTTGAAAGAGTATCTGACATTTGAAGTGCACCATTCAATCACAGTGCCTCTTCATCTTGGGTCATCGCTCACTTTTCTCAACATGTCTAGACCTTTTGGGAAACTTATTGACGCGAGACAGATTGAACATTATTGCCATGTAAACATGCAGATATTTGTAAATTTGATAATGCAGGAAAAGTGTTTAGTCACGATACAGAATAATTTCATGCATGGAGGAAAATTAAACAAAACAGAATGACATGAATAACAGATGTCGGCAAAAAATCCAACTCTCAAATTAAATGACGCTGTCTCAGTGGAATGGTACATCAATAACTAGGTGAAACATTATATTGAAGTCCAATTCATTTCTTAACCCTCGATCCCCAGCAGTGACTTCATTTAATCCTCCTTATTATGTCACCCTTGAATTATACATTAAAGACACGAGAATATAAGAAGTAATCACCAATTAAAGAAGCTCTTGATTGTTACACAAACTCTCCTCGTCAGCATCTTAGGCTATGTATAGAGAACAGTAAGGAGAATATACAAACTGATGTTAGTGTGTAATGGGTTTGGTAATGCAGAAAATTTTTTAGCGAAATAGTGAAACTTAATGCACGCATATATTTTTCGCCGATGCAGGAATTTACGAAGCGTCGTTCATAAAGCCGGTCCTTGCCGCAGATTTTATCAAGAACATGACAAATGATGAAAAGCAAAAGTGGAAAGATAAACATGGCAAATCAGTGGGTGATTCACTTCGTGAATACGCTCTGGAGTATGTTGGAAAGCCCATAGATAACATGTTAAAGTATGTATGTCTTCATAAAAACAGTTTTAGGAGACAAATGTGAGGACAGATTCAGACTGAAATTAAAGATCCAGGCCTAAGCTGTGATCGGTGTATTTGGGTTCAGTTCCCTCAGTGGGCAATGCAAGAGGACCTGACGCCTCTCACTATTCAATGACATAAATGGGTGTCTGGAAACTGTCAGGGAAACCTTTTCAACCCCCGTTTAAAGCATCCCTTTTAAGCGTAAAATTATCAGATATAGGGTCCTCAAGACACAGAGACCAGAGTAATTTTCAATGGTTGCGATAATCAGTCTCGCATACAGGCTTTACTTTTATCATTGTTGTTATTCTTATTGTTGTTGTTATTATTATTATTATTATTATCATCATCATCATTATCATTATTATTATTATTATTATTATTATTATTTTAGTAATTTCAATTGATTCGAACGCCTGGGCAGTTCAGTAGAGGCTGAAAGCATGAAACCACCCACGACATATTGACGGGTAATTACCGTGGACGTGATTGAGGATGTTTGAATCATGCTCTAAATTAACCTCTCTATATATATATTTATATATTTATATATATATATAGTTGCCAAATCTTTCCCTCCTAATGTCAAATCAAAACACTCCATCATGCCTGTATTCACGTAATTCTATCGAATACTACTTTCTAGATTTATAGAAACATATCAAATACCACATTGTGCACCAGACAGTGTTTCTTATGGCCTTGGAAGTTTACCACTTCTTAACGTTTATGAAAACGGAGTTCGTACGAGTAAAGAGACAACGCAGAAGCTGCCAAGTGGAGAGAAGCTCAATGGAAGAAACTCCTACATCAAGTTACTGGCTCATTTTACCACCAACTCACAAACTCCGGATGAAATTTATACACTTGGGGAAAAGATGCGAGATGAACTTTACAATGAGGTATACTTTTAAACGGTGAAAATGAACAAATTTGTTCAATATGTTATTCCTAATCATTTCTGGTAAGCTAAATAGCGCTTATAATCCAGAAAATGTTTGTTTCCAGATGCTGGACCCTTAAGCTTAACCCTTTCACTTAGTCTGCCATACATTTCAAAGTATATACATTTAAAGTTTGTTCTGAGAATTTGGTGTTGGATCAGATGATTATCCCTGGTTCACATTTGTCGCAATTCTCATCACTCAGCTGCTTGATACTGTATTGATACTGTAAGAAGAATTATGTGTCAGTCACACTCGGGATTAAAACGGTTAAGATAAATGGTCAGTGTGTCGACCCCTTCATTTACCTTCCAGCCAACTAACCTATAAAGTTCAAGGTTACAAGGTACCAGTTGCAAAATAAAAAATATAAAATCAACTATCATTGGCGTAGTGAAGCAAGACCAGTGGAATCTCAATTAAAATTTCCCAAAATTATTTCTTTTTCTTCCTTCCTTCAACAGCTTTTAGAGGTAGCCAAGAAAATCACCAAAACTACTGACGAAGAACAAGCAAAGATTACATTTAAACGGCTAATTGATGAGTCCAGTCAGTATTACAACGATGGTGACATCCCAGCAAACGAGTCTGATGCAAATGCACACAAAGTATGCAGCAGTGTTCAAGATGCAAAGAAATACTGCCCCAAACGTTTTGCTGCCATGACCAAATGGTTTTCCCACGCTAAAGAAGTAAGAAAAAAAGTTTGACAATTACTATAAAAAATAGTTGTATTGAAAGTGCTCGAAATAATTTTTAGTGTACCAGGTCGACATACGTAACAGGATAATTTATTGTCATCAATTTAGTTGATAACGTGAATTGGCCACCGTAAAGAGTTTCAAAGCTGACGTTTAGAGCGTTAGCCCTTTGTCAGAGAGAAGGGCTTACGCTCGACGAAGGGCTAACGATCGAAACTTCAGCTTTAAAACTCTTTACAGTAGCCAATTCACGTTATTCACTCAGTTGATAATACTAAATTACCCTGTTATACTCTCCCACCGACGCAGCACCTCAGTTTCTTTAGAAACTTAACTTACCCCTTTATTCATTCGATATACGTAATCTCTTGTTAATATGAGGCGAGAGATCCAAGAGAAAATACTCTAACCATGGTTTTAAGATGGTCCGAGGCGGCATGTAACCTAAAACATTTTCTGGACCGACTATCTTTGGTCACTACTTTCCAAGTTTGTCTCTGTCCTTGGGTTAATTGTTATACACTCGATTGTAGAAACGATGACAGCCAATAAAGTATGATCCATGAACAATGAGACCAAAAGGCTTTATAAGAAATATTCGCACAATCACATAATCAGTGCTTCACTCTCTGATTTTAATCGAAAAACTTTGTTTACGACAATTCCTTTCTTTCAGGAAAGCGTGGATGCATGGCTCCTATCATTAACCACGTTCAACTTATTGTGGTTATTATGGAAATGAGTAGCCATAAAGCAATTGGGTCTTATCGTTCATTGCTAACGCTTTTCAACTGTCAAAGTTTTTGCAATCGAGTGTAAAAACGGAATTTAATGTTACGTTAATGTCGTAAATGCGTCGTTTGTAAGGTGCCAGTTGTGGTTGACACCTACCAAGGGGAGTCTTTTCTAAGCCAGTAAGCCAGATTTCAGAGTAAGTCGTTGAAAGTAGTTTGTGCTGTAGATTAGGCATTGCGCAAAGTCCTGGTCAATAGAGTGTGGTTCGTAAGTCGATGATGTTCAGCAATGTGACTGTTGACATTACCTTTCCTCGTCGCTCGCTTGTGTTCACTTACTCTTCTGGTGAGGTTTCTTCCAGCCTCTCCAATGTAGGAGGCATGGCAGTCGGAGCATTTGATCTTATCAAAAAACGAGCCAACTAGACGACTAAACGTTCCCGTACTGGACATCAACAGAAACTGACACGACTGCTACGTAACAACGAACAGAGACGAAGTAAACCGGACGACAATTAGTAAGAAACAACTCCTCCCGTCCCGTAGAAACTCGTGTATTGTCATACGGACTGAAACATTGAAACAAGCTACACCGTCCCTGGACGCAAGTATTGTACACTTTTGTTAGTGTAGGTACCTGATACACGAGCTTCCATGTACTTGATCATTTGATAAAAGGCAAAACCTAGGCACAAAAAGCGCCTAATGAGTAATTCCTAGTGATATATGTTTACTTTTATTTTTATTTCATTTTTTCATAGATTATGGCAACTTTAGATTATGAGACAGCAGACCTGTTTTATTTTACCGGCCCTTACCATTCCACTCCAAACTGTCCCATCAAACTTGACATCGATTTCAATCCATCCAGTGGTGTACCATTTTACCAAAGCTCTGACAAAAATTGCTCCAGGACTGCCAGTTACAACATTCCGTTCTTTCTTGGGAGGCCTGGGCCCAGATATGAAGCAGTCACACTGGCAGCACACGAAGCGAGGCCTGGGCACCATACCCAAGTAAGTCGAACCCAAAGGGGGTCTTTTTATAAACTGTTTCAGAACCAATGGCTTATCGGAAAAAAAGAGTAATATTACCAGGGAGCTAGCAAATGGCCTCCAGCGTGAGAAAACATAAATTTTCCTGTGCAGTCGAGTAAAGCGAATTTGGTCTGTAATCATACGCGTAATTTCAAAATCGAACGAGCACGCTGCACGTGTTCGATTTGAAAGCACAAATTTCGCGACACGAAGTTTCAATTGCCACTTTGTCGCATCCATTTAAAAATCGCAATATTTAATCTACCAAACAAAAAACAGAGACAATTTCAAAACTGGCCACACAATGGCTTCTTTTGCCGGCTTTCATTTTCCTGCATGATTGCGGTTAATGTAAACAAGTCTGCAAATCTGATCACTTGTTTTGCTTTAGTGTTGCTTTCTCATCGAAAAAAAAATTAGTGCTATTCGTGAATAAATTTCTCTGCTGAGAGCCAATCAGATTGGCTCACATAATAGCCAACCAGATCGTGACCATTTTAAGCATGTCTTTTCTGGCCTGTCCTTATCTCCTTTAATAAAAAGAAAACTAGAGTAAAACTTTCTTTGAAAGTACAATTCGTCGAAATTTCAAATGAAATTATCGTCACAAAGACTATCGGTTTTTCTTAAAGAGACTTAGGCTCATCTTTTTTTCGAACCAATTTTGGCGAAAGGAAAAATGCTAAATTTGAATTCGGCAGTCGAATGAAAAACATTGCTATTGGTTTGGTTGAGAGCTTTGGACAAAGAAGAGCTAGACTTCATAATGACCTTGGCCACTATCGAACTCTCTGGTGGTGGTGCATCGAACCTACGCCCGGACGTCTCAGCTCAGAGTCTAAAGAGATAAAAATTCGGATACATCAGCATCCTAAACAGGACTTTAAGATTTGGACTGATTGAGCATGATGTGCGTTGCTAGATTAAACTTAACTCTCACACCACTGGTACAGCTGTTTGCCAAAAAAGTTTATTCTTCCCTTCCCCTATCCCAATCTCACTTCCTCGTTCTTAAATCAATAAGAAAGGTTACTACGACTCAGACTATAAAGAACGTCTATGCAGTCGGTATTGCGCATGCTCTATACTTATACTTACTTATGCGTGTATCAGGTGCAAGGTTATATCGAACAGTTTTCGGACTCGTGCAAAGGACCTATTGGCTGGATTGCTGACAGTACTCTGTATCTCACCTTCTCAGAGGGCTGGGCACTTTACACAGAGAATCCACTGATTCCCCAACATACTACAGCGTATGATAGTGATCCAATTAGCAAGTATGGCATGTTAAAATGGCAGGTGAGTTCCCAGAGTCATCTGACTTTACGATGTCAACTAGAGCAGTTTGTCCCATCTGGGTACAACCTTTGAGTCACCGCTCTCATTGAGGAGATACAATGTCCTGTTTTTCTTAAAATTTAAGTCATTTAACCTAACTATCAGTGAATAAAAGATTTAGGGGAAAGAAGGTTATGGTAATTGGTTTGCTTCTAAGGGAAATTTTCCTTTGCTTGTTATGTACATCTCAGTATAATTTGCTTAAAGGAAGATTGCGAGATGGAGGAGGGGTCCCGGAAAACTGTGTTAACCCAGTTGACCAAGCTCATATCAAGAAACCTTAGAGCGTGTCCGAGTTTCTCTCTCGTCCGTGGACCCAGTAGCCAGTAGCCTTCACCTGGCGATTATTGATAAAACGCTTGACCAGCTTTTTAAGATGTACTAGGAGTAACCTCTGTTCTGGTTCCCTCTTTGTTTAGATCTGGCGAGCATTACGCCTGATGATGGACACGGGACTTCACGCTAAGGGACGGAATCGAGCCTGGGCGCTGAAATTGTTTGCAGACTACGCCTGGGACACCAGTGATATAGCCGTGAAGGAAGTAACACGCTACCAAAGCATTCCGGGACAAGCCGTCACCTACATGATAGGACAACTCGCGATCATGAAATTCCGAGACAAAGCTAACAGTACGCTGAATGAGAAGTTCAACATTAAGGACTTTCACTACCAGGTTCGATAACATCTTGATTT